TTTAAACCGAGCCAGAATTTATAGTTCCAAATTGCAAAGTGCAGTCCATTTATCCGGCTACCTCTTCAGGGAGAGATATGGAGCCGGTTCATACGAGCATTAGATACAGGTCTATAAATGCATCCTAAAAGAAAAAGTCGGACATCAAATTTAAAAGAAGGGGAAAAAAATCGAGTGTCAGCTAAACCGTAGATAGGAGAGACGTAATCGGGCTTTGTTTCATAACTGTTCTTCAGAATCTGAGCGACACCGCATTAGCAGCATAAAGCGGAGCATTGCAGGTTCACGCATCGCACCATAGCGCCTTCAGTTTTGAAGATGCATTACGGACATCCATCGAGTACGAATAGTTGTATCTCTGCGCCGTCGTCAACGCGCATCCTTTCTCTTGCTCTGTTCCCATAGTATGTTTGTTTCTGTTTGTCGGAGTCTGTCCTGACTCGAATACGTCGATTACATTGCGTTAGTGCGAGGTATTTAAAATACGTTGTCTCTCATCTGGGTTCTGAACACTAAAAATATAAATGCAAAATATTATAGTTGTGCCAAATTTAAAATTAGATCCGCGGATACTGAAACGTTTGTCAAAATGATGACATTTTCGTTTTTGAATCTTTTAATCGGCGCATCTCTGCGTCGTAACGCGCGTCCTTTCCCTTGCTCTATTCCCATTTCCCATATCATGTTGATTCCGTTCGTCTTATTTCCTGACTTCACGCCTATTGTAAAATATTTGGGGTATTAAGCTAGCATTCGGTGCAGTACATCGCAAACTGAAAAAAATTCCCTGTTTTCCAGTTTTTTTTTTAAACTTTGTGACTTTTCCAAGTTTCCCCGGACGGTTATCACCCTGAAGTTTTCTGAAGGAATTTCTCTATTGGACCCGTCCACCTTTGACTCATCTTTCTTCGAAGAGCCTTTTTTAATAGTTGGCCATAAAACCTTTCAACGATCCCTCTAACGCGGAACGCCCGTTCCCTCAACGAAGTGCGCAGCGTAACTACCGTGCTACGGAAAAACACCATATGAATATTCAGTCGTTGCTAAATTTCCTCTAATACGATATAAATTATCTAGAGAACCTGTGAAGACATTATTTCGAATATCTTCGAGAATTGCACTTTAGCCCTGTGTTGACGAAAAGTTAAAACGTTGTATTTAAACTTAAGGTATATGAAAGGGTTCCTACTTTCTCCAAAAAACGGAGTGAAAAATGCTTTTGGTTTTCTAAATGCCTCACTTTTCCGGACTTTCCAAGGATTTAATGAGAACATCAAAGTCCTCCACTTTTTATCATTTTTTGCAATTTTTCGGCTGGGGGTAGAAATTCCGAAGTCCCATAGCAAAATGCCCTGACATTTCCCTGACTTTTCAGGCTCAAGAAAAACTTCCTGACTTTTCCAGGAATTCCCTATTTCATCAAGATCATGTCACTCTATCTTGAAATTGAAAAAATAATCATTTCAGCAGAAAAAAAGGCGAGACTCTGTGACAAAATTTCTTAAATTTTCCAAGACTTTTTAGGGTTGGGTGCATTATCCAGATTCCTCAAGAACTTACCAACCCGAAAAATATATTCAGGATGTCTACTAAAACAGACTGGCCAAAATCAGTAATTTTACAGCACTTTTTCAGTACATTCTCATGAAATTCGGTACCTCTTCAACAAAAAATTCAGTACTTTTTCAGTACCTCCAATTGACTCAATTTGAAAAATGTCAAAAATTTGAATTTCTCGCTCAAATTGCGACACAAATGACAACAAAATAAAAAAATTCCGGACCTTCTTGCTGAATTTTAGCACTTTTTCAGTACTTCCGGACCGCCCTTGAAAAATCAGTACTATTTCTGGACTTGTAGACACTCTGATTTTTGATCGAGGAAAATTCGGCAACAATCAAAAGTTCTTACGGCGTTCTTCCTTAGGCCGGCTGGCAGAAACAGGGCGAAGGGACGGTAAGAAAGTCCGTAAACCGGGGCGGATTCCGGCAGGTTCATGAATGCTCTATCCCTGCGTCCCTGCGCGGGCGCTCGTAAAACCGCGAAACTACTTTTGACAATTCGGAATGGATGCGGGACGGCGGGGCGGGCGAGGGGGACGGGGGGGGGGGGGGTGCGGGAACGCCCGTGTAATTGATTCAGAAAAACAATTGCTCCGATCAAAAAAGTCGACGGCACAGAACTTTCCGAGTGGCTTCGAGCCACCCCCCCCTCTCCTATCCCGGGGGAGGGACTCTTCGAATTAAAAAGCACGAAGGACTCCCGAGTCTGTAGTACTGACTACTGAGCCTCTCTCCGCTCTCCGGGCCGGGGTTTACAGGCGCTGTTGCCGAACCAATCGGGTATCGGCGGTTTAGGAGAGGGTGAGGGTTGTGTTGCGTTACATCCGTTCCATATTCGTTAGCTACTGAAAAATTAAGTTCAATCCGTAGGAATATCTTCGATTCTCAAGATTATAGATCTGCAAGTCGAATCTTTTATTGACGAAGGTATCAACTTTCGAAAAGTAGAATAGAGGGATTTATATTCCTTTGCAGAACAAGTATATGCGCTGTAGTCCACAGATGCCCCCCAAGTATCCAGGAAAAAGGCGGCGACTTTGGGTAGGAGGATGTTATCACCGACTTCTGAAAATCATCACTTGCTGCACTTTCTGTCAAATCTTAAAGTACGCAATTTTAGACGATTTTTCGTCCAAACCGGACCTCAATATCTTCCTTCGTTTGAGAGATATTGAGGCTCAAAGGTTTTGACTTTTAACCCCCCCCCCCCTCCCAAAATGTTTTTGTTTTTTGTTCGGTCTGAAAATTTGGGGAAAGAAGCGCCCGAGTATGAGTAATCAATAGACAAAGTTTAAAAAAATTTCAGGGGGGGAGGGGCGAAAACGTCGTTTTTGCATCAAGCTCTTTCGTTTTATTGCAGAGTAAGCAATTTGAGTCCAGCTTAAAATGCAGCCAGCAAATGAAGTCATATATTCAATTATTTTAAGTAATCTACTCACAACGCTTGCCTTTTTATTCCTCATTTCTTGACTTTCCTCGGGTTCCCTTCACTATATGCACCCTCAGAAGGGGAGGGGAGGGGGTGAGCAAAGAAGAACGAATGGTTAAGGCAATGGAAGAATAAGGTAAAATGGGTAGTGTGGCTTCGAGCGAATTTTCGTCGCTGGATTTGGTTTAGTCTTTGACTTACTGCCAACCCTCGTTACCACAAAACGAAATTCCCTCCGCCTGTGAAGCGGCTAAAACATCGGATTATCCATGTTGGTGGCAACGACGACCAAACCCAAAATATTCGACCCCCTTTTTCGTTGAGAGTTGAAAAGAGCATGCATGTATGCAAACGTTAGGCTCAAGGAATGATTTCTGAACGCGTTTTTTTGGTGGGTTGCAACGGAGGGTATGGATTCCATCGACATGAATCGATCAAAAAATAAAAACGTGAATCGATCGACATGAATCAATCGACAATTTATTAAAAAACCTGTGTCGATTCGATCGACATGAATGGATCGAAAAATGAAAACGTAAATCGATCAAGATAAATCAATCGACACCGATTCGATCGACAGTTAATTTAAAAACATCCGTGTCGATTCGATCGACATGAATGGATCGAAAAATAAAAACGTGAATCGATCGACATGAATCAATCGACACCGATTCCGTCGACAAAATTCGATCGATTTACGGGTTTGTCGATCGATTCACGGGTTTGTCGATCCACTCACGGGTTTATTGATCCATTCACGGATTTTCCGATCCATTCATGGGTTTGTCCATCGATTCACGGCTTTCATCGATCCATTCGCAACCCTGTTGATAGGGTTCAAAGAGAAAAAAGCCACATCCAGCCGTGGAAATTCAGCTGTCGCACGACGCCACAGCGTGGTCCGATGTCCCACGGTCAAAGCACAAAAAATCGACAACGTGATGGCACAAGAGTCCCAGGACCAACGCGGTGCCTCTGCCCGGCTCCCCTTCCCGGTTCAGTTCGGTCACCTTGGCCGCAGATCAAGATGATTTATACGGACTCGGTTATCTCTCACTCCAGGTCTCAACCCAGGGGCGAGGCCGCGAGGGGTCACCGGCCGGGGTAGCATTACCAACTTACGACCTGCCAGCTCCAAATCCGATCGTTTTTTCAATGATTCACTCTCTCGGTGCGTTTTTTCGACACTCGACTAACCAAGATTGAGATCGCCCGTTAAGAGCACGCACCAGATCACCGGATACGCCCTCGAGGAGCAGAACCAATAATCTGCTTCCCCATCGTTTCCTCCACCGGAGAGGAGACTATTTCCACCGAGTCATCAGTATTTCGTTTCACGGAAACCAAACGCCTGAGTTTCTGTTATTTTGAGTGGAGCAATTTTACAAATCAGAGTTTATAACAGCTTTTTAAACGCAACATCGCAGAATTTCTAAGACTCTTCAAGAAGTTCCAATTTTATGTAAATTAAGCAATTTCAAGTATCTTTAAAGGGATTTCGAGAGGATGTTCAAGTCCTGTCAAGGATCCACAGAATACCATGAAAATATAGGTTTCCGTGTCTTATGCCCTGGGTTTTATGATACAGGGTGTCTAGTTTTTTTCATTTTGGGAAATCCTGATTTTTGACTGCTGAATCCTATTTTCATAATCTTTCCAAATTCTGATCAAATCCTGATTTTTTGCAGAGAAAAATTAATATCACAAAAATAGCTCGATAAAAAAATCTGATCGGACGGCCGACTTTCCTTAAATTCTGATTTTCCGACCGATTTTTCTTTAAATCCTGATGGAATCGGAAAAATCCTGATGCTAGACACCCTGTATTAATGGCGGAGAACAAGTACATTTTTGTTGATTGATAACTTTTTGGAAAGTTACTGACAATACCGACTTTTCTGTAATGTATACAAAGTGCAAATGTGAATGTAAATGAACGTGTGGAAATAATAAAATGTTATATTTTCGGAGAGGCAATCGTAAAATATGCGTACTTTTGTTTGTTTCAGGTCTAAACTGACACGCTAAGATCATAGGCTCGGAATCCACCCTGATAGTCCTCCTGGAAATGAGGCGAACGACCTGATGAAAGTAAGTAGTAAATGCCTCACCTACAACGCATCGATGGCCAACTTGCATGACCACGTATCTCCATTGAATCTATATACCTCGAAATGTTTGCTCCTATTTTAGGTTTTTCAAGGAAACAAGTAAAAATACATTGAAATTTATGCAAAACACCCTACTGACAGAGAGGAAAAGCCAAGGAAGTTTTCTAGAACTTACGTTAACTTGTTTTCCAAAGCAAAAATAAAATATGACGAGAAGCCTGCAACGTCGCAAACGGAGATATGTGATTTCGCACATTCACCATTGACATTTACTTACATATACATAGGCTGTCCAAAAAGTACCGAGACTGGTTCCATAACTCAAAAACCAAGATAGCTAGAGGCTTGATCTTGGTCTCATTTAAAAGATCAACTCAATATCTATCAATTGAGACCAAAATCAAAAGTTTCGGTCAAGTATTTCAAAAGTTACGGCACTGTTTGTAAAAAAATATCGGGACCCCCTACCGTTTTTAATGACTATTTTCTCTTGCCGGGAACACTCTCTAAATTATTAATGATCAGTGCACGGTTCTTTTGCAACTAATCATGGCAAAACCTAATTGATTTGGAAACACTGTCAAGCCGTCGTCGTCCGACTACGGGTATAAGGGTTCAAAGTCCACAGGGAAAGAATCAACCGTCGGTCAGCCACCCCTAAAAAACCCGGGAAATTTTCGGCAGTTGTTGACAGTTCACAGTGCGTGCGTGGTCCACGCTGCAGATAGTGAGTGATTTTGTTTCTGTGTTCGAAATTTTTAATACCATTGCTTTATCTCTTTCCATGATGGTATCAAACATTTCGAACACAGAAACAAAATTACTCACTATCTGCAGCGTAGACCACGCACGCACTGTGAACTGTCAACAACTGCCGAAAATTTCCCGGGTTTTTTAGGGGTGGCTGACCGACGGTTGATTCTTTCCCTGTGGACTTTGAACCCTTATACCCGTAGTCGGACGACGACGGCTTGACAGTGTTTCCAAATCAATTAGGTTTTGCCATGATTAGTTGCAAAAGAACCGTGCACTGATCATTAATAATTTAGAGAGTGTTCCCGGCAAGAGAAAATAGTCATTAAAAACGGTAGGGGGTCCCGATATTTTTTTTACAAACAGTGCCGTAACTTTTGAAATACTTGACCGAAACTTTTGATTTTGGTCTCAATCGATAGATATTGAGTTGATCTTTTAAATGAGACCAAGATCAAGCCTCTAGCTATCTTGGTTTTTGAGTTATGGAACCAGTCTCGGTACTTTTTGGACAGCCTATGTAGTTTAGTAATTTCAACCATAAAACGCGTCGTGTCTAAGAAATGCCATATCCTCTTTATTACGCAAAAGGGAAGTAGCTTTTCTAGCCCGTCAGTGATGAATTGAAATTTTGACCTCTTCGCTGCGGCTTTTGGCTCCGCGGTGTGAAATGTACCTTGTTAACTGGCCGCACTGATAAATGGACAGCATTTTGCAAATTGGAACTACAAATTCTGGCTCCACTGGAAAAACACGTATGTGTATAGGGAAACTAAAGGCACATACGTTGTTTTTAAACCGGGCTAGAATTTATAGTTCCAATTTGCAAAATGTAGTCCAAATGTTACCATGCGCCATAGTCAATCGTGTGAATGTTCGTAATTTGTGGGTTTATTTTTAAAGTTCCCGTGCTTCTGTCGTTAAATTTTCTGACCTTGCTGCGATTGAGCAACTTAAATCTCTAGTTTAAGACGTAACCGGACCTTACCGGTTGTGCGTTAGGAATATGCTCCTTATACTACGGAGAATCTATAATTACTTCCTGAATTGTTGGAAAAATTTACCACTTCCTCTAAAATCTTACTTGAAACAGAGATATAGGATTAAATTAATTTTGGCACGCCATTGATAATTAGAACGCTGACACGGATTTTCGTCGCGAAAATAGTGGACGATAACAACTGCAATAAAATTTTCAGATAGAGACTCACTAATCTCATTGCGGAGCTTAAAACGGAACCTGAGAGCGGGCGTCATTAGCATGCAGATGAGCCTTGATGAGTCAGGCCGCGGATTAGTCCTGACGCACTGATGAGTTTTGCTGTCCTCCGCTCAAATCTCCATCTCCAGCAAATCCATGGATAGAATGCAAAACCACGTAATTCACTTGACACGTTTCAAGAGGTCCTCGTCAACTTCATTTTACAAAGGAGCGAAATCAATACATTGCTTTGAAAATTTGTCTGACCTGCCCTAATCATTCCATTTCACTGTCCTGTAAAACATTTCAGGCCAGGCTGTTGAAATCTCTCCCGTCTAAAAAATAAATTGAGCGAGGAAATTTTAAAATATTGCAGATGAGATACGTGGTGTTATGACATGACTCAGCCATCAAAATGGAGAAAAATTTGAAACTTCTGGGTCTTCTTTTTTGCCCAAACTTTTGGCGGTGTGGAAAAATGGACGGTGCGGAGAGCCGAAGAAAAATAGTAAGGGATTCATCATTTTGACTGGGCTCCTTGGCGAGGCGCGGCGGGTGAAATTGATTTCGCTCCTTCGACTCTATCGCCGCATCACATCCTACGATTCCGACACCCTCATTTGACAAGACGCGCTCGCTCGTCAAATTTCACGTCTCCCACTCTCACGGGCCATGAATAATTCACAATGAGATACATCCTTGTCCGACTCGCTGACATAATGTCCTTGTTAGCCGCGAGTCTGTGCATGTGTGCGTGTAAACGGGAAAGGATTTTATTGCGCGCGTCAGTCAGTGTGGACGCGCCTCAACTTCTCGCCTGTCGCCGCACTGTGGTCCCTCTCTTAGGGAAAGTAAGACCAAACGCACGGCTACGAAAATTGGACTACATTTTGCAATTCGGAACTATAATTTCTGGCTTATCTGTGAAAACAGGCATAAGCATAAGGAAACTGATGGTATATACGTTGTTTCTAAACTGAGCCAGAAATTATAGTTCCTAATTGCAAAATGTAGTCAAATTGTGCATCTTTGCTTCACCCTACTAGTCTCTGAATTTGGAAAACATGCTTTTTATAAAGCTCGGTATACTATTTTCGAGGAGTAATCGTGATCTCTAACGGTGATATACCACTAATCGCCTACGTAGGGAGCTGGAACTCCTGTTACCTACACTAAAAACTAAAGGCCAACTGACATTGAGCGAGGGTCACCGTTTCACGCTTCGTGAAATATCTTCCCACGAGCAATCATAACATCTGATAGAGATACCACTATACGGCCACGTGGGAGCTTGTGTTGCCTACACTGAAAACTGAGGGCAAACAGGAATGCACTTAGCAATTTGGAACTATAAATTCTGGCTCTTCTGGAAAAACACTTCAGTGCATAGGGGAAACTAATGGCAAATACGTCGTTTTTAAACCGGGTTAGAATTTATATTTCCAAATGGCAAAATGTAGTTCAACCTTCATTGAGCTAAATAGTCACTGATCCGCGCTCCGTGAGGTTTATTTCAGCTTTCGTCCTCCAGCGATCGGAACAACTAAGCTTGAAAATACAGCACAAATCGGCCACGTGGGTGTTGGTGTTGTACAGGTACGCTGAATCAGAAGGTAAACTGACAATGAAAAAAAAGCTAAAGAAGAGAAAGCAGGGGCAGAAGAGGGAAAAGAAAATTTGAGGAAACATTTCTGTCTTTTTCTTCATCTTCTTCTCCTTCCTCTCCTTTTGCCTATTCTTCTCCTGATTATATCGAAGGAACTCTGATACAACTATTCGAACTCCGAAGCGCGCGCTGCTGCCTAGTCAACGAATTGAAGGCGTTTTGTGGATTTGGTCCTCTCTCGCTTTCTCAATTTATTTGCAACTACTTACGATTTAAGTTATTATGAGCGGTTTCTTGACACTTCCCACACATAACGTTCCGATCAACATTTAAAGGTCACCGAATATCACGTACCTGGAACAGAAAGAAAAATCCAATATTAATATATGTACACTTAGTAAAAGCAATACCAAAGTTGATGATGTTTATAAAATACTGCCTCAAATGACTCGTGTGACTTCCGGCAGTCCGAAAACCGAAGATAAGTGCTGGTAAAGAACATCATCACCCTCCCCCAATGGGTCATAAAAAAACCTGGTAAAATTACGATCACAGGTGTTGTATAGGTGTGCTAGAACAAAAGGCAAACTGACAATGAGCAAAAAGCTGAGGAAGAGGAAGCAGGGACAGAAGAGGGAAGAGAAAATGTGTGGGAGCATTTCTCAGTCTCTTCTTCATCTTCTTCCCCTTCTCCTTCCTCTCCTTCTCCTTATTTTTCTTCACTTCCTTCTCCTTTATCTTCACCTCCTTCTCTTTCCTTTAATTATTCTTTCTCTTGATGAGAGCCAAATGATACGCTGAGATGGCAAAACTGCAAAGGCAGAGAGGATGATTCAATGAAATAAGTGCGGAACAAAAGCGAGTAGGGAGAATTGGGAGAAATAAGACGGCTCAACGTATTGAAAACAAACAGAGGGGTGTTGAATATAATGAAACACTTCAACTATCACTCTTTCAGCAGAGAAAAATAGTCCGGGAGCGGATCAATAAGGATTTTCTGCTGCGCGGAAAACGTTACGCGTTTAATATACACATCGTTGCGAGAATTCTTTCCGGGCTTAGGTGTACGACTGTACGTAGAGAGTTTTACCCTCATTTTTGAGATTTGATTTTTTTCACAGAACGGCAAGTATTCAGTGATTTTCCTTGAATAGTCTCCATTCGAATGAAATTAAATCCATCAGAAGTTAAAAATTAGACTTTTGAAACTAGACTAATTTTTGAAATTAGGAGCTACGATTGGACCGCGTTAAACGGAAAGGAACCAAGCCACATCATCTATTGCCAAATTTAATTGAGCTATTTAATTTTTTTTCATGAAAACGGTTGTGGGGATTTTCGTGCAAATTTCAGTAAATTTTTTGCATAGTTGGAGGCAAATTCTCTCAAATTTTCAAAGGAATCCGCACAAACGTTCTCT